GGACAGGATAGGACTGTGCTGTGAGTACAAACTAGAAAAGCCTCCAGTTTAAACTTTTATCTGAATCTTAAGGAAAACAACTTGCACTTCTTGTTTAGAAATTAAAAAATATGTTTTTATTGTGAATAACCATTCTAGGACAGAGTTTGTGTCTCTCAATTCATACTCTTCTTAAAGAGCACTAACTTCAGTTAAGGAGGTGTATGAAGAGGAGAATTATTTTGCTCCCMTTCAGTTCATGGGAAATTTGTTACCACATACTAACACATGCCATTTAGTGTGGATCCCATCATATCTAATACATACCTGAAATTCACCCCAAGATTTTAGACATGCAGTCAGCTATTCCTCCCGGTGCAGTAATGACTGGTAAATGAGTCAGGACTGTAGAGCAAGTTCTGCTGCAGGGTATGTCACTGAGTCCTGGTCCTCCGTCACGTGGACCATGGTACCTGTGGGTGGATGCTGCCATTTCCTTTCAGCTGTCAGCTCAGGTTTCTTTTCCAAAAGAATCAGTGCCTGGGAAATGAGGACAGTGGGAACTGGGACCAGTGAGGTTCTCACAGCTCTCTCTCCACTGTGAAGTTAATCAAAGCATACATAAATGGCCTATAAACTAGAAGCAGTCTGTATTCTCCAAGATAGAAAAATAAAAGTGTCCAAAATACTCAAAAAGCACAAAATCCTCCAAAAATACTTTCAATACCCGTAAATCAGGCTCCTGGAATTTCCTTGTAAGACATCTCACAAGACAGATCACTGAAAGTAATCCAATATGTTGGTCAGTAACCAATCACAGTGGTGCCAGGCCAGCTCTGCTGGTCTGTGCTGGATGCTTCACACCATCCTCAAAGGAAGGGAACTACTGTCTTAGTAAGAGATGATCTAATGGCTCCAGGGATCTAACAGGACAGGAAGACATGGTAAAACATATATTGTGCATACATTAGGCCATCTAATGCTCACCTCTTACAGAGCATTACCTTGTCATCAGCACACTGCTTGGAAAGCTACAGCTTCAGCTGGAACTGTAAGAATATAAAATACATAAGAAAAGGATGGACTGGGCTTTACCTGTCATAAAGTGGAAGCCTGAGATGCACCAATGTCATCTCAGTCTACAAATTAACAACTATCTGCAGCTTACAGAAAATTGATTAAAATACATTTTTCAGATATGTGTTTTAGTGGGAGAGTATAATAGAGATTCTTTCTGTGTCATAGAATCACGTAAAGATTATAATAAAAATCTAGGGATTTGTTTAAAAATGCTTGTTATTTATGCAATGGTCTTCCATAAGGAGGACAACATTGTAGTAAGCATCAACAGACCAGGATTAGAATTTCATTCTAGCTCTTTCAAGTATGATTGTGCTGCTCATCATCACTGAGTGTCTGGAGGTAACAAAACTCTTGGTAGATGAAGCCCAGCARCACCTCAAARCCATACACATATTTGGCCTTCCAGAAGGAAGGTGGCACAAATGTCCCTGCCTTTTACTTATAGACTGAGAAAAACTGAGTAAACCACTACTCCTGTCACTGTAGAGTATCTGTGTTTGCATCATAGGACATTTTTGTTAGAAGGTTCATTGGGATCTCTTTTGTACTCTCTGCTCATCAAAACTCAAGTTTCGGATGCTTCACATCATGCCCAAAGGTATTTGGGGTTTTTTTTTTCAATTGTACTTTCTGGCTGAGAATTACCTTTGTATTTCTTGCTTTTTTTGACATATATTTAGACTGAATTGCTATTAAAAATAATATATTTGATTTCCATGGGTGTTGGGAAGCTCTGGGGATATTATATCCAGATGCTGTTCAGATTGTGAAGAAAAAAGCCTTGTAGCTAAAATTAGGAAGCCACAGAAAACCCACATCTATAAAATTTTTGAAGAAAAAAACATTTAAAAACATTAATAAACAATAAATGCATTCCAAAAGAAAAAAAATTGCTTAAATTTCGGATCAAATCCCCAGCTAGATATGGATCTGGTTTGCTTTTTTTGTAAAGAGARCCAGTTAGTCATAGATAAAGTGAATTATGAAACTTACTCTCATTAATCATTGCATATAAATGCATATCAATATACACATAATTTCTAAAAATATAACAAATWTTGTCCTTTTATAAGAGTCAATGGAAAATTTCACATGGACTTCATTGGGTTATGGATCACATCCTGTATGTATCTGCATTTTTAGATCTTTTTCAGTGCTTTCTCTCTTTCAATGGAAATTAATAGCTTCTTAGAATTGAAAAGACTGGTTACTGATTTGGTTTTGCATAAAAAGCAGAGTCCAGTGGGATTAAATATGAATGGTGGCTTGGTCCATTCTCATTAATCACGAGAATATAGTGTGCAGTTGGTTATACAGTGATTATTTTTGTATGGAAATGTCCACTACTTTTATGTCAATAAGCAGAGCTGCTTAACATGCAAGAACACATAAATCCGTTCACCTTGACATACTGTTTCACCAGGAATGTATACAGACACGTAAATGATCTGTAGACTGCACTAACTTTGTAAATGTTACCGTAATGAGAGGTCATCATGTCCAAGTATCATATTTGCACATAATTATATATGTTCCCAGTGGGGAAAAACAGCATGTTTTGAAAGCTCYTATGAGATTTTTTTTGAAATCCTCTTGGCCACATATGACCTGTGCAAAGTATTTTATCCTGAAAACTTCAGAAAATATAAACATTAAAGCTCCTTTTCATTTAAAAGCCTCAGCAGCAAGATGAGTAAGATGTGACTGGCCTCAAACAATACAGAGAGAGACTTCTGGATCAGGGATACGCAAGAAGCACGAGATTCAATGTGCCATTGGAAAGTGATACACAGCAAGGAGCGAATCAACATGAGTTGCAAGTCAGAAGACTATTGAAAGGGGCTTAGGACTCAATTTCCGTTTGTGCATGCTGCTGGAAGCTGAAATTCTGCACGACCTGGAGAAATTCAATATCCCTGGCAAGTCTAAAACGTTGCCTCATTGGCAGAGACTTCTATGCAAAAATGATGGAAAAGCCAATTCCATCTTTGTCTCCTTCCCTTGTCCTTTCATCACTAGGACCTCTTTGTGTTTTCCCAGTGCAAAGGAGAGTCCTCGGCACAGCCTAAGTGCATTTCTCCTTGCCAAGGCCAGGTCTCTGCCATGCACTTGCTCCASGTAGAAAAGGTCTTGTGCACGTTCTGCTCTCTTGTTACTGTTACTTTGTGTAAATGCATTAGATTTAGATTTTTATTCTTTTTTATTTTCAAGACAAGATATTGGTGGACTACAGAAGCTTCAGGACTTGGCTGCCACTGAAGTCCATTGCTCTGAGCAAGTCTTACCAGAAAAGCAGTCCCTGGGTGGGAAACTGACCCAGTCATGATTTCTTTTTCATATAGCAAAATAAAAAGCCTGATTACAAGGAAGTATTTAAAATTATTTCAGTCATCTTGCAAGTGCAAATTCATATTTATAGCTGTAAAACGAGTGTGGGCATTTTGTGCTAATGCTTACAAATATTTTGAGCTGAAGAAAATAATGTGTGTCTTTCATCGTAGCTGCTGTCATTCATCAGCTCACAAAACACAGACCAACACAGTCTGTCTTTTGAAGAACATACAGCCAAACCACAGCAACATAATGAGCAAAAGCTGCATATAACAGGTGGAGAAACAGGAGAATGGAAAGATGGAGAGATACAAGTACAAGGTCTCATGATTACTTAATTGCTATGCCCACATCTTGTTCCATAATGCATACATGACTTCAGCCACCCAATCTACTGAAATCCCGCTCAGAACATGTCAGGCTTGAACTAAGCATCCACCTCGCATCCTACCGGGTTATCCATCCCCCATTTTGCTGCCTTCTATTCCACATAATTCCCATCACTTTCTTTCCTCACACTACATGTCAATCTCATCACATGTTGTCCTGCCATTGCTCATGTCAGTCACTTGCACATGGAGATTCCCAGGTTTGTTCCCAGCTGTTCTCGTCCTCCATCCTTACTATAGTGCCTACTGATTTGGACAATGTCCTGTAAGCTGATCACTCATCAGCTTTGTCATCAAACCTTGCCAGCTCAATGTAACATGTGAGGAACATGTTGCAAGAAGGAATATGGCAGATTCAGTGTTTCAAAGTACCTAGGCAACCCCAAGCCTTAAATGAATTGCCACAAGGGAGAGTTTAACCATTCCTGCCAGTATAATACCGTGTTCTCTTGTGGCAGAGGAGTAGCCTTGGAGGGCTACTTCATCCCAGGCCCCAACCCGCTGCTACAGGAGGTCTAGTCTTCAAAGCCAGTCCAACAGAAGAACCTCTTGTGCAGTCAGAAGTGGCTGTGACAGTGTCCTTCACACATCTGTGCGAGGGAAGAAAAGAGCTTGCTAGTGTGGTCCTCCGTAACTACCTCTTGGGACGGAAGCACCTGCCACCAACCAGGGTGATCCTGTTGAATTCACCATGCCTGTCCCCATGAAAGCCCTTTTAAAGGATCGCAGCTCTCCAAAGCTCAGGTCTCTGTGGAGCTACCTGCAGGCCGTGCTGCACACCGAGCAACAAGGAGCAGCAGCGCAGCCAGGTTGACTCCTGGCGCCCACAGCCCCGTGTGGGCCCATCCTGCAGCGCTGCGAGCTGGGCTCCAGCCCCAGGAGCCTGTCCCAAGCCCCCAGGAGCCTGTCCCAAGCGCCCAGGAGCCTCTCCCAAGCCCCCAGGAGCCTGTCCCAAGTTGTCCCCGGGCTGGGGCCGGGGCTGCGCTCCCGCCGCCCCCTCCACGTGCCCCGCGGGCGCGGGCGGGCCGCGGCCGCCGAGGGGGAGGGCAGCGGCGGGGAGGGAGCGAGGAAGGCGGGCAGGGAGGCGCCGCCCGCCGCCGGCCCCATAAATAACCCCGGGCGGGCGGCGGCGGGAGGAGCCGCCGGAGCCGCCGCCGGAGCCGCGGGCAGAGGCAGCACCGCGGACAGCGCCCGCCCTCCGCGCCCCTCCGCGCCCCTCCGCGCCCCTCCGCGCGCCACCATGACGGCCGAGAGCCACCTGCAGGGCGTGGAGATCTCGGCCGCGCAGTTTTTCGAGATCTGGCACCACTACGACTCCGACGGTGACTACCCCTTCGGCGGGGCAGGGGGGCCGGAGCGCGGGAGCCCCGGCCGCTCCGCGCCCCGCGGCCCGGGGGGAGGCAGGGGCTGGGGCGGTGAGAAGAGAGCCCGGAGCGCCCGGGCGCAGCGGCGGGAAGAGCCAGCGGGAGAAAGTTGGAGGGCTCGGTGGCAGCAGCCGTAACTCTTTCTGTTGTAGGCAATGGGTACATGGATGGGAAGGAGCTACAGAACTTCATCCAGGAGCTGCAGCAGGCGCGGAAGAAGGCAGGATTGGTAGGTTGACGTTTTCACCCCACTTTTCTGTCTTCTCCACCAAAGAAGAGTTTTCTTGAGCAAACTCTGGTGCCCCGGGTGCTCCTTTCCCCTCCGGCCACCGCACCACCAATGCACTAGGAGTTCTAGCAGAGGGAGGTAGAACGGTTAGAAATGAGCAGGTTTCAACCCAGATAAACCAGCTTCTTTGGAAAAGCGAGGCCAGGGTCCACCTCCCAGGGGAGCAGGTGCCTCCTGCTCCTCACCAGGCTGCGAGCGAGCGGCACTTCTTGCAGTGCGGCTGCAAGCCAGGAAATGCAGGTGCCTTTGCCTTCCATCGCGGATGGGACCTTGTCCTGTTGCAGTTATCCCAATCCAGATATGTACTAATATATAAAAAAAAAAAAAAAAAGGAAAGAAAAGAAAAAAGATGCTCCAAGTTGCTGGAATCTATTTTAACTCCGTGTTTAATGGGCAGTACAGGCGGAAATGCATTTCTGCCCCTTGGTGGTCAATAAATAGATGTGCAGATGATTGCTAACCACCCTTCACTAGTCACACATCAGGAAGATCAGTACCCAAGTCTGGTAGTTAAATCGTTCAGGAGGACAGCAAAGCTTTTTGCATGAGTTATTAAAGTGTTAACTGGAGCTTTGCTACAAACTACACCCATCTGGGAAAAACAAAACAAACAAAAACAACCAGAGAGAGAGCAGTAAATGATTCTCTGTAAAGATCTGAATTATAATAGAAGCAATGCTTTTTTTAACAAATAAAATACTTTTAAAGTAATCAGTTTATAAAATAGGCCACTTAACCTCTGTGCTAAAATACTTACTCCAAAAGTAACTGGAGTAACAGAAAATGAAATTATTCTAACTAGATGACATACGTGCGTGGGTGAGATAGATTATTACTTTGTGTAAGAATACCTCCAAATTGTGCAATAGCTTTTCAATAATTAATTTTGCTTTTAAAGTTGCTGTATATCTTAAAAGTAAATATCAGAAAACTAATATGCATCTTCATCCACTTTGTGGAAAGTGATATCCCGCTATTAGTTGTACAAATTAGTCATGCAGCTAAAATACTGTCTCCCAGCAATGCCTCTAATGTTACTGAAGTCTAGGTACCAGTTAGTTCTTCACATAGCCATCAGGGTAAGCATACATTTGCATAAGGATAAGTTAGAACTAAAATTTCAAAAGGCACGAAAAAAAGAAAATAACACAAGGACTGCAATTTCAATTTCTGCATTTATGAAACTAAGGTCTATTTTCCTTTGCATGGGAAAGGAAATATCATTTGATGTCTCATCATTTCAATCATCATTTCAAATGYTTTACATTTCAAGAATTTCAACTGAACAAATCTCCTGTATTAGAGTGCAGGAATCCTAAGCACATCCATTGGAAAGACGATATTAAAAGATTGTGTATATTTAGTATGAATGGCATTCTTTATAACAGTGTTGTATATATAATATTCAGAAATTAAAAAAAGAGTTAGAAGCTCCAGATAAGGGAAAAATATTTACCATCTTAAAATCAGATTCTTTTCTCTTTCAAAGTATGCATCTCCTCTCTTAAAAAATAGAGACAARAAAGCCTTGCAAAATCATTCAGATCTGCCACCTGCTTCATCATTTCTGCTTTTTCTATGACCTCAGACTGCAATCACTCTATAATTTGAAAGTGCTCAGATGTTTACTTGAGTTTATCCTTTGCCTTTCTCTGATTGAAGCCTATTTTGGGAAGGTTCAGCTGAAAAGACCAGTCTAGGGTAGCAACACCAAAATCAGTCCTTCCTCTATTTGCTCTGCCTTTAGTTACCTGGATACCTTAATCCCTGAAATCTTTTTCTAGATTATGGATAGATGCTATCCTAGGTACCCAGTCTAACTGACTCTTAGTTTTGAAGTCCCACTTACCAAACACACATCTCATTAGATTGTATCTCATCTCACAGGATACTAATTCAGTAGCTTTAAATCTGTTTTCTTTTGCCAGAAGGGACACAATGAGAAACTAGTGCAAGTTATATGCAGTTTCCCTGGCTGTCCTTGTTTTAACACCCCAAAGCTTCTTTGTCATCATTAACTTCTGCATTTCAGGTCACTCTCCTGCTCACTATTTTTGAAATACTCAATTATGCATTCTTCATAGCTGGATTTTACCTCACTCATGCCTTATGCATTAAAGAATCACATTTATTCTGCCATTGAATAGGGTGATTTAGCATTTCCCAATATTCTTCCCAATTACACAACTGTTCTAATTATGTTCTAATGTTAATCTTGTTATTAATCCCCTTAGAAAGTCCTTACTTTTATAGTTGCTTTTGGTTAGAAGAAGCATAGCATGCACTCTCATCCATGCCCGCATCCTGATGGGAACTGTTGTCATTCCAGGGGGCAGAATTAGATCTGGATGTTTTACAAGTTGAGTTTTTCTCTGATAATGTTTTTTCTTTGAAATGTTTTCACTTTACACATCACATGAAGGACTGAATTGTTTTCTTGCCTTCTGGAATGTTGCAAGATATGGCAAAGATGTAAACTGTAAAAGTGTAGGAGCTCACCTTCCAGTTATTGTGTCCTGTCCCTTACACAGCATATTCTCTACTTAGGTCTGCCAACTGCTACGAAGAACTTGGTGGGCATAGTGGCTAACACAGGGGCTGAAAGGCACGCAGTGGGGGGAACTGGGGAATTTTCCTACATCAGTTTCTAACTTTCTYTGCATATAAATAATGACAATATTTCACCATGACACAGAACTATGGGATTTAATGGGTATTTATGCATGCATGCAATCATGTAAGTGTTTCTGTACTGCCATCTATCCTTAGATTTTTAAAACATTCCCCCAAAAGCTATTTTTTTCCACAGTTCCAGTCAGCTGGATAAATGTCTCTTAATTTTCAGGAGGGGAAGCTGAGGTGTGAAGGGTTAGCTTCCTAATTTAATTCAAAAGCACTACRTCTTTATCAAGATTAGGACTACGCTTGGTTAAATTTAGGCAAAATTACTGACTGATTACATGTGTTTGAATAGTATGACTTAAATAACTCATCAATCAACTCAAGAGCAGCTGAAATGAACATTAGGGGAAAAAAAACCCTAAACTTTCTAAAGAATGTATTAGAGGATTACAGGAGTTCTGCTTTGTTTRGCCTGTAACTACTTATGTTGCACTTAACGGTTGGATGCTGGCACTGTGGAGGTGCTATTGGAAAGATTAGCAAAATATTAAACCAGGACTAATTAAAATCCCTGTGTCCAAATTCTTCATTTTAACTACTAAGTACACTTGTCCCCACTTTGGGATTGTTAGATGAAAGGTGACATTGAAATGTATTTTATTAATAATCACATCTTAATTAAAGTCATCACAAATTACTAACCTGCCATGGATGACTTTGGCAGAAATAGGATACTAGGCCATGATTGTTTCAGCTACAGAGAACTGACATTTTAGTAAGTTTTGGCAGATGAATTTGGGACAAACTGCAATAGTCTTTGTACAGTTAAAATTCCTTATGTCTCCGGTGAGAGAATCACTTATGGCCTATATAAGCAATCTATTATAGCAACTAAAATTTCCAAAGATATTGTATTTTCATCTATTACCACAGATTTATTTTAATACAGCTGTAGCCTGCTTCTTGCTGCAAGGCTTTATTAGCTCAAATCTATAAGAAATACAATGAGCACTAAAGAGGATTCAGTATTGAAGGTTATATCAAAGCACATCAAATCCAAGTGTCAAATCAAATMCTTAGATATTCACCCCAAGAGTGACACCTTTGCCATAGCCTACAGTGAAAGCAGCCTTTGAGAACAACCGTGGAGTAGGAGCCATAATTCATGCCAAGAACAGTTAGACTGGCGTTACTTTGTTAGATAAAAAGTTAGATGTAAYGTTAGATAAAATGATATAAAGTTTTCTCCTTCCGTTGTTTCTACATTACAGCAGTAAGATTCTGTTTTTCTGATAACTCAATATTGAAAAATATGATATCCTCATGGGTTCTTTTAGGGTTAAAATAGCACACATTGTGCAGGCCAAATCAGCTCAAATATATTGGAAGACTCTTTTGGTGTTCAGACATGTTACACTAAAATGTTTCTTATTTTGAAGGATTTTGCACAGCCCTCAAGCTATTCACTTACCCCCCCCCCCCCAAAAAAAAAAGAAAAAAATGGGAGGGAGAGAGGGAGAGAGAAATTGCCTACTAATAATAATTACTCGTGAACTTCTCTGTCATGCTTAAACAAAAGAGCTGCACATCTGTCTATAATTTTCTTATTCTGTGAACTAAAATAGTAGTTCAAAGTATTTTGTTGCCAATCATTCATACTGACTATAATATAATTCTTCAGGGAGTAAAATGTATCATAATGAGATTATTCATCATTAAAAAATCACTCGATTTCATTTAAACTGGAGGAATCTATCTGCAGTAAGTGTGAGTACTAAGTTAACTGTTATTATTTGGAAAAAAAATAATAGAACAGAATAATATTAACTAATTTCAGTACTTTGCATGTGTTTGTCTTGCTCTTAAAAATAATGATGTTTTTATTGTAACTTTGTAGGATTTAACACCTGAAATGAAAGCTTTTGTGGACCAATATGGGAAGTCAACTGATGGAAAAATAGGAATTGTTGAGGTAAGATAGGCACTTTATAACAAAGTACTAGCATGTTTACTTGTGGAAAATACATTTAATGCAGAACAATATGACATAACATGTAATTATCTTTCATTTTCCGTAACATGGGAAATTTCTTCATCTGTCCCAGAATCTTTAGTAGTTTTCCACTTATTATTTTTTTTTACTAGTAAAAAAGAACATCACGTTTCAGACATTTCAGTGCACTTCATTTAACTTCGCAGGCTTTATTCAGTTCAAATCAGCATCACCAACAAATGAATTTTCTGCCAAGTAGTTAACAGCCCAATTGCAGAAAYATTAAGTGTGAAGGTTATTTGTGAATTATTTCTGCATATGACTGTAAACTACTGCTCTGTTACAACTCGTACGGTGAGGAGACACAAAGGAGTGCAATGCGGCAGTGCTTGTGCATAGTCTATTCTAAAAAAAATCATATGTCATAAAATAGCATGCAGCTTAATAATCATGTTAAATTTAAACATTTTTTAACAGTAGCTGTGATGCAGTTGGTGAAAGATCTGGTTTTCTTATGAATTTCTTCACTGRACTTTAACGGAAATTTAGGCAGAAAAATTGGCTTTTCCTTACTCAGCTTTCCGAAGGAGACAAAGGGGCAGCCAGCCGAGCTCTTTTACTCTTGCCCAGCCCTCAACAATTTTACAGTGCAGGAAGCGGGCAAAAAGGAGAATTCTTTGGGTTACAGTTTGAGAAACCACTATTTCAGGCATAACTCTACAAGTCATTTATGTCACATTGAGTGCAATGAGACTGGACTCATTTATCATTAAATGATATTACATATTTTTTTTTTCTGATAATGAGAGATCTGACCTAGAGAGCTAATTAAGAAAGAGCTGGAAGCAAGCCAGGTCTTCAAAATTTCTACAATGACCAACTTTGTGTCAGTAGCTATTTTTAAAATAGAGGACTGAACAGAATCTATAAAAGTCAGTAGGAAGCATTAGTGCTGATGTAATAGATCATTCCAGGGTATCTTTTCTCCTCTTTCCTGTGTCTGAATGCTACATACTTGTCTAAATGCATATCAAATTAAGATTAAACTTCCGTGGAGATTTGGAAACAATTTGTTTCACTTAAGTTTTCTCACAACAAATGATTTAAAAAATGCATCTTTTGACAACGTTTAGCATTGRTCAAATAATTCTGCATGTAAAAATAACAAGTTAGGACTAGCATGTTTATTTTTGCACTAACTTATGGGGTTTTTTCATTTGGTATTGAATAATCCAGTTTMACCTAATGGAAAATGTACATAGAAGTATGCCTCCTGCATTAGTAGGCTCTGCATGCAAGAAGACTGTGCAGTCAGTGCCTGAAAAATACTGTGGTAGTTTGCTTTGAAAAGATAATTGAGAGTTTAACCTTTCAACTTCTATTTCTGTTTCTGCTATTGACTTAATAGGTAAAGGTGAGCAAATCCTTTAAGGTCTAATACTATAAGGTGATTACTGTGCCCAGTGAATTGCTAAACATGCTCAACAGCCATTGACTATTGAAAATGCTCAGTCGCTGACAGCAGGGTTCTTCCCTCTTAATATAGCAGTTTTCTAAACCAATAGCTATATTTTATTTCACTTACATCAGCATGAAGCTTGATTTGGAAAGTGCTGATGGAACTCAGAACAAAATATGAGCAACACAACATTAAAGTTGATATTTGGACTTGATTCTCTAGCCTTATAGATGAAAATGTATAGTAATTCCAAATTGCTCCCACTTGTACATCAACCGTTTTTTTGAAAAAAAAAAAAAGTTTATGAATATGTCTTGAAAGACTTGTGAAAAGGCACCCAGAGTCCCAGCCATAATAATGAATACCACAGCACCTGAAGAAAATTGTCGTAATGAATAATAAGTTCCCAGAAAAGCTCTACTGGGAGAAAAAAGAGATTTTTTAAGAGATATATTTATAATTACATGAATTATAATGAAAGTTATTTTAAATAGCATTAACTATCAGTAAAACGTACTTCATGAACGATTTGTAGAAAATAGTTCTGATCTTGTTTTAAATATTCAAATCATTTCTTTTCTGTTAGGTAACCTATAAAATTTTCTCTCCTACCTCTCACAAGCTTGTAGCTGAGTAGAGAGAAGTCGAGCCCATCTCAGGCTTTGGGCATCCTCTCTGTTACTTGTAATGCAGAAAAAGCTGCGATTAAAGTAGCAGATCTTGGAGAAATCTTCACTAAACTGCTACTGCTCCTTGAGAGGCTGCCACTGCAAATGAAAATGTGTAGTAATCCACAATTACTCAAGAACATTTTTGGATTCCCTCTACTTTTTTGCTCAAAAAAAAAAAAGTGTTTTCTGGAAATAGTAATAGGTAAAAACCTAGCAGTGGTATAGTGAGGATCTAGAAGTCAAGTGGTGATTTCACCATCTCTTAGTAGTACAATCTTTCAATGAGAAAGTAATTTAATACTATTTGATGAAAAAGCTGGAAGAACTGGACTTCTCTTTGACTATATTGCCTCTATTATCCCAAAGTGCATGAAAGAAAATAGGAAAAGCCTATTTCTGTCCGAAGGCTGAGCTAATGCATTGGATATTGAACTACACTGTCTTTGAAAAGTAAAAGCCTGTGCATTTCTCTGTGTGAGAGCTGCAAAGTACTGGAGAGACAGTTTAAAATGAGGTAATTTTCTTACAGAGGTAATGCACTCTATATCTCAGGACTAGTTAGGTACTGCTAGGTTACTGATTTTTGCAAAGTTACTCATATGGCATCTTTGCAAAACTCGCCAAAGTTAGCTCTAGCTGACAGCACACCATAATGGAAATTTTGAAATAATCATGTGCTTCTGAGGAGCACTTCAGTGCATCTCTGACTGCAACRCTGGCATTCACTCACAGGAGTTTCATTCTATATCCACTGTAATCATAGGAAAGTATTCACACGGACTTAGGTATGAAGTATGTGTTGGAAGTTGTGGGTTTGCATCAGACTTGAAGGGATTTTCTAAAGCCAAACCAGAGTTTTCTTATCTCCTTTTACAGAAAATCTCCTTCCTCAAAGCAAATAGGTATTTCCTCGGGCAGATGTATTCTCACATAAGTGAAGAAAATGTTGAAAGATATCATAAGGAGCCAAAATCCCATACAGAGTGATCTAAGAAGCCTTTTCACAAGTTCCTTGGGGTTTTCTAGGTTTTCTGGCCAATGGTACAAATGTGTGGGCCTATGTCATCTGTAAATATGGTTAGTTTTCTATTTTCTGCTTGGGGCAAGTACTGGCCTACCAGCTGCTCTTTCACACTAATAATGTCTTTTTTTTTTTAATTCCCATAAACTCTTTCCTACTGCTGTAATCGGCCCTCCCTGCCAACCCCTGCTTATTATAAYTCTGTCCCCAGTTCAACTTTTGTTCTTGAGCAAGAAGTGATTTACCCCTAAAATCAAAGCCCAATTTCACAGCAGAGGAAAAAGTACTGATTTATGGGAAAAAAAAAAAGCCTAAGTAACACATATATGAGCACATTCATATGTGTACCTATGAACATGTCCTTATCCACATGTGCATACTCTCTCTATAATGGAGTAGAATTTGGAAAGCTGCTAACAAAAACATAGTGTTTTAGTTGATAGATTTGAGAAGCAACCATTTAGCTGAGAATACTTTCTGATAGTCTATAATCAATTGCTCCATTACTGTAGGAAGAGTGCTCTGCTGTATATTTTTAATTGCACCAACAGTTAGCAAATACAACTGATTTCTCGCACAGATAATTTTAGAGAAATGAGGGATCTGTTTCCATCTGCTTGATGTGCCTGCAGACCGAGTGAAAGCTGAAGTTGCCTAAGGCACTGCTGGAATCCAATAAAAAAGCCCAAGTAAATTAGGACAATTGCACTGAAATAGCCAGATGAAGGGATTTTAGGGCATGAATAGAATGAGCAGAAACAGAAATTTGAGTCAAAATTTTGACACAAGTCTTCAAGAAGCCTGCAGATGTCATTTTTCAAAAAATAATGCAGCTAAGAAATCTTCATTTTTGCATACTCTCCTCCTAGTAAGCACAGCTGGTCTATTCAAGTAAAAAGCTTTCTTCAATCAAAACACATTTCATACACTTTGGGCAAAGAAAAGATATTGGGCTTTTGTTAAAAACAAATCAGGACTTTACATTAAATTATATAGCATATTTTCCATCTGAGACATTTTTCAGTGGCTGAAATTGAGTTATAGTAAATGAACGTTTTCAATWATCAGTACAGTAATGTCTGAAGAACCATCCCTGATTTTGCAGGGAAAAAATCCCTTTTGATTTCTTTCTGTCTTCATAGCTCATCTTGAACACATCTCTGAGCCTGACAAATGATCACCACTTACCATTGCTTTATCCATCCTGTTTTCATTTTCTCTTATTCTCGCTTTCTTTTTTTTTCTTTCTGCTTTCCTTACGCATGTGTGTGCTTCATGTCACATCCCTTTTTCCTTTTACTCAATAAAAGGAGGTGTTCTCTTTTTGGTTTTACTCAGTACCTGTCAGTCTTTTTTCCTTGCTTCCTTACTTCATGGTCCTTCTTGCTCACTCTCTAAACATCCCTCTCTTTTTTTCTTGTTTTCCTCTTCATACTCATACCAAAGCTTTTCCCACAGATCCAAACACTGCACAAGTGAGTTTTTCCCTAGTTAATCCTTTGCTACACAGCTTTTCCCTTCCTTTTTTTCCCCAACCTTCAATTCTGTTTGAATATAGCAAAGCTTCAAGACAGTGGCTTCCAAACACTTTGACCTAAGGGATGAAGCCTCTTTATAGGTTGGAGTGAAAAATACTGGCAGGTAGGAAAGCAAAGGAGAGATTGTCTGAAACACACAAGTGTTTAATATGCTCACGTCAAGCTGGAAACACACATRTCTGCATGTTTGGTTGGGTCACAGCACCAACCAAAGTGAGAGCACTCACCATATGGGCAAAGAGCTGCTGGCAAAGTCCCATCTTTGTGTAAATCCTTTACTAGCAGCAGATATGAGACAGAAGCACCAGCTCTAGGGACAGCTCAATACTATGGAGGCTTCCCTAGACCTTTAGTGGGATTAATGGAGTCCAAATCATTGGTGTTATGAAACTGGAAGAGCAGTACTCTTCCTTACCTGGAGAGCAATGTTAGCCAATTCTTAGTTGTGGGTTCCACATATCCACTGAAGATATAGGTAAAAATAGATGGTGAATATATAGATAGGTAAAAGTATATACAAGTATATAAAAGTATATACAAAAGTATATAAAAGTGGTATATACAACAAAACTTGAATTTTAATTCTTTTTAGCTCAATAAAGCAGTTTGTACACAAAATATTTCAGATGCTTTTAATGGTTCAGTCAACCTAATGAGGAATCAAACTTTAATCTTTCTTAAAATCTATTGCAGCTTGCTCAGATTTTACCGACAGAAGAAAATTTCCTGTTGTTCTTTAGGTGCCAGCAGCTGAAGTCAAGTGAAGATTTCATGCAGGTAGAGTATAACAATTTTCCCTCTGTAAAGTCCTTCAAGGCTAGCTTTACCTGAACATATAATTAAATCTTTCATGTTCTCATTGCAGACATGGAGAAAATATGACAGTGACCACAGTGGTTTCATCGATTCTGAGGAACTAAAGGTAAGGGATATCTGTGAGTATGCAGGAAGTGTGAACAAGCATTGGATTGCAGCCTGGGCTGCTGCTCCTCGTATACCCACTCCTGTATGTTTTTACATTTCAGACATTACTGGAAGGAAATATGATTAGCTGATGTTTTTATCACTGGTAAATTACTTTAAGTGAAATCCAACTCTGATAAATGTTTCTAAAAATGTTATTTAATTCAGATCAATGTTTGTCTCAAGTGCCTCAAGGTAGCAGATACTCCTATTTAGAAGTGAAGTGATTTTAGCCCTGGGAATGCAGAGGTCCCTGAAAGCTATATATGCTTGTATGTATGCTGGTATTTTGGTGAGAGGGATGGTTTATTTTATTTCCAAGGTCATTGCTGTCATTAATATTGCAGAACAAATTATACTCTCTCAAATATCTTGTAACATTGCTGTTTCTGCTGAAATATTCTTAGTCAACACAACTGGAATTGCATTGCCTGTGCTTTACTAAATTAATGTGAATTTGTTATCAAATTCATTATTCATAAAGAGCAGAACCAAGATAACCATGTTACCCACRTTAAACAAGTTACCCTTAGAAACTTAGCAAAGCTTAAAACTAGCCTGAATTCCTTCCATAATCATAACATTAATAAACTTACAGGTGCTAACCATACCTGGGGAAGCAGATGCTGAGTGAGAAGGCATTTTTTCTCATAGTTTAATTACACATGTTTTACACTCAGAGTATCCAAAATAATTCATAACAAGAGAAAGACCTAGCAGGGTTCATCTGTCTAATTTGGACTATATAGCCCATTTGTGGTGTCCTAAAGAAGACCCACTTAAGCATTAGCCAAAGCAGCCGAAGGTCAAACCCTTYGAAATCTTTACAGATATTATTTTTTTTAGAAAAGAGAATTCATATTATAAAATTCCTTTTTTTCTTTTTTCCCCTTTTCCCTTCCTATTTGAGTACAGCATCTGTATCATGTTTGGTGAGGATCTTGCCTCAAGGTAGTTCTCAAACAGAATTGGTGGATCAAAAGTTTGCAGGATCAAGGAGAAGTTATGGGTCATACATAAAGCACTGGGGATTTCCCAGTTGTTAGACAAGCTCCTAAGGACTTTTGCCAACTAGCGTGATTTAAAGCATACACTAAAAGCCAGGACTGATGGGGGAGCAGCTGGAGAATTAAGAAATTTTACCTAGTTCCTTGATGATCTTTTATTTCCTGGGCTGAGAGAGCTTATCTGTAGGACAGAAACAGCATCATTTAAAAATTTTGAAAATATTCCAGTTTTATATTTAAGACTGATCGATATTTCCCRAAAAGTCCAAACATTTTAAGCACATGCTCTGTATGGAGCACWTCGACTTGCAACTTTTTAAGAGAGATTTAGGTGGAAATTAAGAAAACTTTAACAGTAATAATAGCCATGGAGGAGGAGGTAGACTCTCCATCACTGGCTATATTTAGGAGTAGTCATAAAATATTTCAGATTAGACTATAACTCAAGAAGCTTAGATATAGATGGCCTGTTTTCTATCCAAAGCACAAAAAAATTAAACACGTATCTGTGACTTCTATTTGCAATACTTCTCTGATGCTCTTTGTATACAAACTAATAAGGTGGCTTTTCAGTACTGAAGGGGTCAGACTGAGGGAATTACACTGGCTATCACATATTCAAGTTAAGGATGTCATCTGTATAGAAATAGATTTTCTTAGGAGCTCCCACCGGTTCTATCCTGAAATAAGGCCCAAATTTCCACAGAGACATTGATGTCAATGAAACTAATTAGRGCAGTTATCAAGTACTTCGCTGTGCGTTGACAGTCCTACTGCAACTTCAAGTATGGCAGCGCCTTAGCTAAATAAACACATATTTTTCTTTTATTTTGTCACAAAACTGGGTCAGCCATTTAAAACAGGGAATGGGAGAATCAATTTTATTCTTTATAGAAGAAATTGCTGGGGATGAAGGCTATAGGATAGCATGTCAAATTCTTGAAAAACAAAGTATAAAGTGAGAAGGAGCAACACAAGTTCACATGTTCATTTCTAGCATCAGGTACTGCCACAGGCAAGGAAAAACTTGATTAATCATTGATCTATTCCGTAAAATTGTTAATATGTTGCAAGAGGAGATTAGGCATCCAAGTTTGCCAAGTAGCTTCAAGGTTAATTAATGTAATTTACTGATAGAGCTGATTAGAAAAAAAGTATACTTTGAGAATAATCTACTTTTCCAAACCTACAGATAGCAAATGGCATATAATAAAGTTTTATGAGTTACTTTTTTCAAATAAGACTACGCAGCATATTTGAATCAGTCAAAAGAAACTGTTGCATTCTTAATAATAAACTACTACTTATTTTCATACTTTCTTTTACTTCCTTAGTCATACTAAAGTGGGAGTAAAATAGCCAATGTCATCATTTTCCCCTGAAGTTAACAAGTCGAGTATTTTATACTGCAAACACAAATTCAACTGTTATTCCTCTATTTTAACAGAGCTTCTTGAAAGACTTATTACAGAAAGCAAATAAGCAGATTGAAGACTCAAAGCTAACAGAGTACACAGAAATAATGGTAAGATTTTCTACAGACATTTCATGCAGACTGAATTAATCCAAACTGTTTCTTTCTAGTCAGTGAAAGGCTCTAGTCAGGGAAAGGCTCTAGTCAGTGAAAAGACCTCACCGAGCCCCAGTCTTGCTGTGTCAGTCATCCAAACACATACTGGATGCACATTGCAAGCACTTCTGCAGCTGCAGAGATGCTATCTGAGAGCAAAAGTTTGCAGCACTGCTTAAAAAATYGCAGGAATTTGCAGGGATCTTCTCAGGTTTTATGTAATACTAGATCATATCACGGCATATGTCCCTGATAAGCGTCTGTGTGCCACTAGATGTAAAAGTGAAGTCTTCAGAGTTCATAGAAGAAAAATTGTACCTGTCATAAGATTAATTACACTATTATGTTTCAGTCTGTTAAATTTGTGGTTACTTTTTATGTTCCGTCTTTCTAGAGTGCTGTTGGGTCTCTCTCTTGTCTCAAATGCCATCAGCACATGGCAGTTTCTTATCGTATCATATTTACAGCATCTCCTTCTCTTTTTTCCCCTTGCAAGGAGGAGAAATGAATATTTTAGGTAAATACCAGAACAAATCTGTCCAGAGACAAATTTAACTGGAGTTAAATCCGGCGCCCCTTAGGGCATTCCTCCCCGTCCAGCGCTGCGGCAGCGCCGTAGAGACCAGGCCTGTTCTCTGCAAGGAGCTTCCAAGGAGAAAGAGATTCCAATTCTTGTCCTCAGGAAAACAAATGCCTAAAACTGKATCTTTGTTTTAACAACTAAATTTTGCCTGAAATACTTTGAGTTATTGAAAGCAAGCTAGATACATAGCAGCCCACAAATTGGCCAAAACGTTGATGAAAAAGGTTACTCAAAACCTTCCTTGACTGGTGATTTATTGAATCAATATAAACCATTTAGGTAGAACAGCCCTTGTTTGTTGACTGGTGAAAATATTACATTTCCTTTATATTTTGGAACCTTCCTGACCCTCATCAAAGTGCTGAGTACTGCACCCGCAGGAAGAAATAACAACAAAGAATTAACAGCAATGAGAAATAAAAAGTCAACCCTGCTCTAATCACCCCAGAAATGAAAACAAACAAACAAACAAAAACTAATAGAAAACATAAGGTAGCGGCCAGCTACTAATAACCCATCAAAAATTGTTAATACTGGAGCTGTCTTTGCTTGTTCCCTCCCAATGTAAATCTGTTTTCACCTGAAAAGCATGCAAGGCAGATACAAGGAAAGAATGAGTTAAAAGAAAGCAGGAGTTTATATAGAAATGAATGTTCATAGCTTTTTTCTCTCCATCTTTCCTTGCCATCTATTGTGAATTAACAGAAAGGRATTGGCCCTTTTTCCCAGCATTAATTCCATATTTAAAAGGATACATGCTTATTTCAGTACAGGACTCTGTTTTTCCTCTTATCTACAAATTACATCTAAAATTACTATGATTGAAAATGATGGGATAGAGTGTGGGTGTTTTCAGTACAATGTCTAGCAATGTTTTGGACAATTTGCTGTCTTGTGATTATTTTATACAGTGAAGGCAAAATAATACATAAAGCTAGAAAAATGGAACAACGCGCACATAAAATTATAAGTGCCAAGCCAGTGTAATATCTCCAGTGATTTCTAAAAATGAATATAAGCTGTTTGTGCTTCTTAAGCAGTAGGAGCCCATCCTTGCAGCTCTTGAAAGGAAAAGATTTTAATACAATAGGATGACTAAAAATTATTAGAATTACGATTCGGTTGTTTGGTCAAATTACATATTTTATTAATTCCTGTCATTTAATTACAATTATCTGAAGTCATTTACTTTCCTGTTTTTATACAATCAACAAGATTTACTGATTGTCCAGTGCATCTGTTTACTCAAAAGAGTAAATGAAATATGTCACAGAAGAAGTATCTGGTCTTTCCTCATATTCTTAGACCTGGCAGTCAACTGAATAAAATGTTTAGCATTTTATATCTAAGGAAATGAATGCCTTAAATTTTACTATGCTTTACATGAACACTATTTTATGTGTAAGGATAAAGAATTATGGTACTATAATCAGATGCTGAGATCAAGAGTATAATGTTATCATGTCAATATTCACCTTACTATTGAATAACGACAGGCCTGTTTCAGGTACGGGATATTCACACTACAGACAGCCTAGAAACTCACAATAGGTTAATCAGAATTACTTGTCTGGTTTCTGATGAAGTAGAATTAATTACTATAAACTCAGTATTTTACATAAATGTATTGCATGGCAAATGCAACAGATTAAAAAAAAGGGGGTCATCATTTCAGCATTAAACAAAGGCAAAATTTCACTGAATTTAAGTTTCCAGTAGATGTATTCTCTAAGTTAATGTGGATTAATTTTAATTCATAAGGTAAAAATGCATATTSTTTCAGCTCAGAATGTTTGATGCAAACAACGATGGAAAGCTGGAGCTTACTGAACTGGCCAGGTAGGTCTTATCTCTTTTCACAATAAATATTATTTACCAACCGCTGTTACAGAACTTGTCAAATATTTTGACCTCCGTTTTTTTCCCTCCAAAGGCTACTCCCAGTACAGGAAAATTTTCTTATTAAATTTCAGGTATGAAACTTCACGTTCTCACGATGTAACTGCTARCACCACACATAATCAATGTAATTAATGGATTTTTTTTTATCTTTTTGGTATTTAGGGTGTCAAAATGTGTGCAAAAGAATTCAACAAAGCCTTTGAGATGTATGATCAAGTAAGTTACTGGAAAATCTTCGTGTGAATCGAACAGTTTAATGGCACTCATTTTCTGAACTTGCGGGAAATTAGCCAAAACCTGTGGAATAAAAAGCAATATTTGAAGTCTTACTAATGCTGTTTTTCAGGATGGCAATGGTTATATAGATGAAAACGAACTTGATGCTCTCCTGAAGGATCTGTGTGAAAAGAACAAAAAGGTAAGCCTAGAGGGATCTTTCTTCCCTTAAGAGATTTAATTTGGATTTTAAGGACACTTTAATCCACCCAATTAAGATAAATATAGAACTTCTAAGTCATAATTCCTGAAGTCCAGTGCAATTAAAAATCTTGGCAAAAGTCACGGCAGTGTAAATCCTTACCTAGGGGAGCTGTGATTACATCGTAGCCTCGTCAAAAGCCTGTGTCTGAGCCATCAGCAATCCAATATACGCCTATAAAAAGGGGAACGTTCAAACACATAAGCAAGATTTCAATGTGTCACTGCAGGACAGCCTGGGAACACCTTTATTTCCTATTTAGCTTCTGCCATTGGCAGCAAACTTGCTCGTGCTGGTAACTAAACTGGATTATAAAGCATTATCTGTTCTTTAAATAGGAATTAGACATTAACAACCTTGCGACATACAAGAAAAGCATCATGGCCTTGTCTGATGGAGGGAAGCTTTACCGAGCAGAACTGGCTCTTATTCTCTGTGCTGAGGAAAATTAGACCTCTTCTTCCATGCCCACCTAACTAGTGATGTACTCTATCTACACAATAACTGTGCACTATAAGGGAGTAGGCTGTATTTTTAAATTGCATATAGAAAATTAGCCAGGATGTGTGGCACATTCCTTTCGGTTTGTTTCTATACTGTTTGTAATGTACAGTTTTTGTAACTATAAGATTGAAAAAGAGAATGTGTTTGGGCCAGTCTGTATATTCAATAAGAAATTAAAATATGTTGGAGTTGGGATTTTTTTTTCTTTCATAAAAACAGCTGGGAAAAAAATTAAACCTGCTGACACTGTTGTGGTCACCATATCCTTTGACACCTGAAATGTTTTTTCTTCTTGATCTCTGTTACAAAAAAGATCTAAAGATATCTTTACAAGTTACMACTAAACATGGGTTTTTAAGTGGAAAAAAAAAAAAAGGCGAGGAAAAAGACTTAATTTTGCTTTAGGAWAAAGGGAGTTGGAAAGACATTCTCCAAAATTTACCATGGCATTGAGAAATATTTTCAGTTGTCAAACCACCCACTTACAGGTATCTCTGCAGTTTTCAGTCACTCTTCCCATTACAAACGCATCGCACATAGACAAAGCATTTGCAAGCAGAAGAAATCCGGGATAGCTTTCCCACCAGTAGCTGACAAAAATAKAGTGTTTTCAATCTAGTTGTTTAACTTTATTGAATTTAAACATAGGCATTGCAGACACAAAAGCCTACAATTTGTCTTGGAGTCCTGGCTAAATGGCAGGTAACATAGTTAGCACACACATCAGCACATGATAGCATAAGTGTACCTTTCATGACTATTGCTGTGTCAGAGAATATGACAATCCATTTTCTAAACTCTTTTCACATTTTGCAGGTTATAATTATTCTAGTAAATTGCTGTTTTTACATCATATTCTGTGTAATCTATAATTAAATTTAATATCCTAAGACTGTTGGTGTCTAGTTTGTCTATCTCCCACATTCTTTTTCTGTAGATGACAAAACAACTGTTTGGAGAAAAAAAAAATGTGCCTCCTTGGATTTTACATTGAGTGTCTAAGCTATAATAGTAYAACCACTTAACACCAAAAAAGACAAAAGACCTATTACAGATTACCATATTTAGTTTACATGATGTGCTCTGCCTTTTAATATGCTTGAGAGGTATTTTTTAAATGGGAATTATGGTATGGAAATGGCTATCTTCTGCCATATATATATATATATACATAAATATATATATATATATATATATTGGCCTGGCTTTGTTTTTATTTTACACCAGTTTTATGCCAGCACATTTCTGTAAGTGTCCAGGCGTACTGGTGTAAGAGAGAAATCCAGTTGTGTCTTAAAAGTCACTAAACCTAAGCTGCCTCCATACAAAACTGCATTTCAGAAGCAGGTCCAGGTTAGCAGATTACCTATATACAGCTTCACAAACACATCACAGTGTCCAATTCAGCAAGCAAAAAAGAAGCATTTATTTGAAACAAGAGGTGTTGGATCCTGCAAGGTCCTTCTGTCACATAACTCCCACTGATGCTAATCCTCCAACTCAGGCCACACTCGGGCATCTAAACCCGAGTTTTAGGGCAGATGGTGGCATGGGTGGTGGGAAAAGCCACAGACAACTGAAGTAAGACTGAGCTGGGTGATTTCCACTGCTTTACTCCCACCCCCTGCACAGTGATTTAACTTCTCACCTGCTTGTTCTCCTCTTTTCTCTATGCAATGTGAAATATAATTGTGTATGTCAAGCRAAGGAATGGTGAATAGATTATCTGCCTATCAGTACAATAAATGATTGAAATTGTTCTAACTGTGCACTTGAAACCCTGGGTTTTGCCTTATTTTAACATTTTAAAAGTATAAAGAAAAAACACCTGATACAGTAATAGATATGATGCAAAGTGACTGCTGAAATCGTTAGGGTGGAAGATGAAGTGTTTAATGTGCTTTGACGAGGAGTCATCACAAAAGCTGGAATCTCCCTTCCTGAGCACATGTAAAGTTACCTTCAAGGTCAAGGCTCTGTGCACACTTCTACTACTRCTCTTACTGATTAGTATCCTGCAGAAAATACACATAAAGCAGCTCTCAGTCCTGTCCGTGCAGAATGTTTCATATAGTCATTACTCCTAAGTATAGTTTGGATTAAAACAGAGTGCTTTAACAAGACAGTTCTAGCARAAACATGGGTTACATCAGTGCCATGCAAAATATAGCAAATGTGGCTAAGCCAAAACCGCTGTGGAAACGCCAGGATTTAGGATCTTTAAAACGCTCCTGGACAGAGCTCTTTGTGCCAGGGTCACAGCAATGAGGTTCAGTGCTGGGGTATGGAAGCTGGTGATAGGGAAGATTGCAAGCTCTGTTCTTGGGGTAGATATTTGGTTGCAAAAAGTTATATTGAAGTGGCAGCATGCAAAAATGTTAATTACGTGCAGCAGCTCACCAGCGTAACAGAGAAGCTGAGGAACAGGTAGCTACGTGGGGTCRCCCCACAGCACGGGACACAGCAGCAGGCACAACCGGGAGCTGCGACGCGAGCCCCGGCTCCAACACCGACTCTTCCACCGCCGGGATGGAGCACGGGGCTCCCAGCAAGGGCTTCCACGGCAGCACCGAGGCCCTCGCGGGGACAGTCCAAACGTTTCGGCGTTGTAAATAACATATCAGGCTTACTTACAAACCCACCAGGGCTGCACCATTTCTCACAAAACGGGCACGCTTTGYTTCCAAAATTGCATTTAAACTAGGATAAGCTTTTTTTATCATTAGGTAATCCTAGCTTTTTCTGCCCCATTTCTCCTCGGGCATCATACATTTATACCAAGGCCTCCTCCTCCTCCTTTCATTCTTGCAACATAAAGAAATCCCATCTACTTGCTRCAAGGAGGCTCCCTACTTAAGCACCAGACTCCATCAGGTTTTCTGAAATGTTCAACACCTCCAGATGCCTCTGAAACCACCCAAAGTTGATCTACACCAATTAAAATCAGACCAAGGCACTACAACCCCCTCTGAGGGTTCACAGAAGAGCTTCATTCCCCAAAAGGTTCCTTGTGAATTAAAGCAAGTTCCCCTCAGGTGCAAAGTTGGCCTGAATCTCTCTGGTGAGGCAGGCAATGAAGGGAAAGATCCTTCCTGCAGARCACCTGCATTAACACAGCACAGACATCATCTATGAGGCGGTTTCAAAGCCAGATGTTGGCAGACATTGGTGTGAGTGGAAGTGGGAGTAAAAGAAGACACCTTGCCTAGGCCTCACTTGAAGGAAGACACCCTGGAAYTGCTTTTATATTCCTAACTTTCAAATCACCGTGGATCCATCTCAAAGCACATACAGGCATGGACAGAGGGCAGTGTGCAGGCATGGAGGAAGTTTGAGGTAAAACACAATTTTTAAAAACAAACACAGATTTCAGGCTKCAAAGGCCAGATCCGAATTCAGACTTGCTTGGCGCACTGCACATCTTGTTAGAAGGGCGGAACAACAGGCATATCCCACAACTCTGGAAAACCTAATAATCCCTAAAGAAAGGAAACAAACTTGCCCTTTTTTTAGTGGCCTACTTACAACTAAGTTGACACATTTCTTTTGGGATTAATGAACTTAACTACATGCAGAAGTCATGCCTCCTTAGAGCTCCTTCAGTGCCCACTGTGAATGATAATGGAATCAGTTTCCACAGACCTCTGCCAATAAGTGCTCACTGCTTTCAGTCCCAAATCACTAGTGTCCTTCACTAGCCTAAGTTAGCCTTTTTATGCTGACACTCTCATAGCCACACACACATTAACAGCAGATGAGGTTCTAGTTTCTCACTTTCAAGAACATTAAGTTAATCCATGATAAAGACAGAGCAACTCAGGAAGGAAAGATTCATCCCTAGATACTACTTCTAAAGTTCAACAGAAGACAATTAACAGATTGAAAATGTCAGCAAAAGCTGCGACCGAGAAGGTTATATACCTCAAAACTTGGTATGTGGAAAAGATTACATTAGAACTTATGCTCTGTCTTTACTATATACTAWTGACAACTTGGAAGTCACTTGCAAATTCAGGACTTAGAACTGAATTGCAAATAACAGGGCTTCCTCAGTTTTCCCTAGATTAACAATTATGTTCAGGCAGGATGTTCTTGAAATGCTATTGAGATTACAATATTAAAAATTGCTTGCATATACATGAACAATGGAAAAATTCTCTGAAATATTAAAAATAGATCACAGTATGGCTATGTAAGACATTATATAGAGTAAAATTTTAATAGTCAGAATACTTTATTAAAATCAGCATATAAAATATTTTGAAAGCTTTTCCTTAATAGGTTATTTCTAAACATTGATGATTTCAGTAGTTTCTTTCCAAAAGCCACCACCAAGAACACAGTAAAGCAGCACTTTATGAACCCTTTGTTTTTCTGATCATTGCTTCCATCGTATCCCATTGCTCCTTGGTTACCTGGTAAAAGACAAGAGCATTTTATTGGCATTCTATACATATTATTACACATTCAAGTATTTGTCTGAATGAAGAGTAGGCAAGAAATTTACTACCTTCCTCAAGTCGTTGAATTCTCCTGCCATAGAAACAAATTCTCCACCATCCATTCTAATAACCTACACAGAACCAAAGCACTGTGGTTAGCAATAGTTTTTCTTAGACATCTATTTAAATCAGTCACTATTTTAAAAAGTTTTTTCAAGCTTTGAACTACTGTTACAATTGTAAAGAATTTCAAATTGTTTTAACTTCTCAAATGTTRTATTTCATGTTAACATTCTCAATATTCAGCATTCAACTGAATAATCAACAATATATCAACATTCTCAATATTAACATTCTCAAATGCCATATTATAACTAAGACTAGGAGACTAGGTAGCAAAACTCAGACCTCACAGAGGTTGATTGCATAAGCAAGAACGATTAAAACTTACTGCTCCATTAACCCAGCTTGCGTAGTCACTGCAGAAATAGGTAGCAAGATTTGCAATTTCTTCTACAGTTCCCAGACGGCCACAGGGAATCCTCTCTATTAATTTACTCTCAAATGTGCCTGTTGGGTCAAGACGGCTAAAAGCACCCTGAGAATTAAGAGAAATACTTGAAAAATTGTTCTATCAGAAATTAAAATCAGAAAAAGGTTTGATTCTTTAAAATGCAAGACTCAATGTGGGAACTGGCATTTGGGGGCAAACTGTACTACAGCTTTGTCAGCAAAAGGAAAAGAAAGAAAGCAGGAGGCAGAAATGCCAATGATCTGTGTTACACTGTGTTCACCAAGGGTGATAACCTGGAATTATATTTGCTTGGAATCATCACCCATCGACTATCTATGAAATGAAAATAATCTTTTATATTTTTTCCAAGTACCTGGCAAATTCTTGAGAAGCATTTGAGGGAACAAGTGAGCCTCAAACCTGCTGCAGGTACATGGAACAGGAACCAAGGGGGGCAGCGGGGAGAGGAATGGAGAAAGTGACAGGAATAAATTGCACATGACACAGAATAAGGAAAAGTAAAAAGCAGAAAACTCTACATTTCAGTTAAACTGGAGCAACTAGAACTAATCTAAAGACACTGAAATTTACTACCCGAATACCTTAGAATGTCATGGAAAATAGAAGAGGGTTTTTGTTCCTTCTGGCTTTTCCACAAAGAAACCACTTGATTTGGCAAAATCAGAATCAGTGTTAGCAACATTTATGTTACGTTAATGCAGTTATGAGAGTTAAGAACACTACAGCTTAAGCATCTGCACGCGCTATGTAAGTATTCTACAATAGGATTTTTTTTTAATGTAAGCTTTTACAAGGGATGCTTCTTTCTCTTCCTATCATGCCTTACCACAGCAGTGCTTTCTAAAGACAGGGGTACACTAYAGACAGGCAGAATGTCTCAATTTGCAATATCTTGTTTTAAATAAAGCAGGTTTGATACACATTCTCTGAAACTGTAACTCTGATCAGTATAATCAGATATAAGTGGAGCAAAGGCTGCTTCCTTGAGAAAGCACATTATCTCAAACRTGATCCACTCCATTAATTTGCATCTAAAATAATGATGGTAGGCAGCAATACTGACAGTTAAAGCAGGTTAACTATCCAAAAATCATGAGTCTTTAATTTGAAGTGGATGTTAAAAGTCTGCACAGATTCAAAAAAAGAACAAAAGACAAAAAAATAGCAGGGAAATCCATTGAGATCATTACACTATGAAAAGATACAAATTATATCAAACTACGCCATAGACCATCAGGGGCTGGAATATAAAAAGATGGGTAACATAAAAGGAATGGAATATAAAATCATTACATGTTTTTTTCTTAATTATACTCTTATCTAACAATTTCCTGGATATAACGCCCAGAGGACTTTTGGTATCACTTCATTAGGTTGTTTTAATGCTGATAGGCACTTATCTTTCCTTTCAGTCAAGAAAACAAAGTAAAACAAAACAGCTCCGTTGTCCAGGACTGACAACGGAGGGAAAAGACTGAAGGGAGGGAAAAAATACCAAAAGGAAAAGAGGAAACGCAGCAGCGCTCCCAGAAACGGCTGCCAGGAGCTGCTACTGCTCCCACGTTCCTGTTTGGACTCGGTGTGACCCAGCTCCTCCTCTCCCCTTGCTGTGCTGCCTGTTTCCCTCCTACACCAGCTGCTCTGGCTGACATCCTTGGAACACTTGGCTYCTTTTCATTCATTCCTATGTTCCACATTTCCTCACTGCTTTATTTCTTCCCCTCTAATGTTGCTGCTTTTGATAAGACTCATGWGGTTCTGTCCTCTAAGAGACTCTGCAATTTTAGAGTTGATCAAATGCTTATGAACGAGGAGCCCAGACAGAAACAGGGAGYTGCACTTCACCAAGCTAAGAACTCCCTCCACTCGACTAACTGTATTAGCTGACTGCTCTTAAGCAACTGTATCACTAGAGGCAGATGTTTCACTGCATTAGCGTGGCACAAGGGCAAGGTTTCAAAACTTTGAAACATTCTATTTTACAGCATTTTACACATAAAGATTGAGAAGGGAAGCAGCGTGYTCAGCAGTTATGGACCATATTTGGAATTTCAAGGTTACAGAAAGGGTTAGATCATCTTAAAAGCAACTCTGTGCTACACAAAACATATCCAAGGTTGTGTTGCGCTCCATGCTATGTACCTTTGTTTTTATTGGACCTGGTTGAATCACATTGAATCTCATGCCATATTTACCCCATTCAGCCGCAAGAGACCTAAAAATTCATTAACAGAATGCATCAGCATTTTAAACACAGTATGTATAATGCTATTCAGCAAAGAATCATAACCAAAATGGAATGCTAAAATTTGATCTCAAAATACTTGAGTTTATTTGGTGTTCCTGACAAAAAAAAAAATCCAAAAGTCACATTCACAAATAGAGGAATTCTGATCCAATCTATGTATCGCAACTAATGCAAATTGAAGGACTGATTCTTTCCCCCCACAAAGCACAGAAATGATTTTGGCACCCACGCTCTTTGCAAACAACTGTTAAGCCTCTACCTTCCTTTTGTAATTTAAATCATGTTACAAGTATGACATTTTCAACACCGTTCTCGAAGATGCTCTGAACTTTTGGATAAGGGGACATTTTGGCTTCATGGCAGTATTTTCTTTGAACAAGCAGTTTTATATTGTCTGTTACATAGAACTAATAAGCTTGGTGATAAAGTCTTTAAGTACACACTGAAGTCRTATTCAGCTCTATAGAACAGATCATGACTCAGTTTTTCCTTTCTCTTATGGATAAAGAATTCTACTCACCAAAAAAGGCTGCAGAACTATTCAGTTGCTTCTGAAGTGCAGAGGAGAGACTATTTATTATCATAAACTGAAATATAGTTATCAATGATAGAAGTCTTTCCCTTTGCAGAGTAACATGGCTATCTGTTACATGCTACTGCTAGGAACTAAGTACAAAYGCAGGCCTTGATTTATACGGAGAAAGGAATCATTTCTTCGTGAAACTAGCTACATTTCAGTAGGTTAGGATCTACTGAAACACAAATACACCTTTTCCATTTACAAAAGCAAATGGAAGGCATAGGAACCTTGAACAGTTCTCCTGATGACCACTTGCAAGTGCTGGTTTGCTTATGACAGCCAGAAGGGAAAAAAATGGCAAAACTCCGAAACTGAAATTCTGTAGCTTGCTGTTGCCAAAAGTAGTTTCACTGATTTCTCCCCATTCTTCTCCATCAAAACTTTGCAGTTTAGCTTCTTATCTATGCTGCCTCTCTAACAATCATCCCATTTTTAGACAACTTATCCAACCTGAAGGACTGCCTTTTTCCACAGTGTTTTGAATTAGCAAGTTTAATAGGCTCACTGCAGCCCATTCCCATGCAGGTGAAGGGGTAGAGGCAGCAACGGGAACAAGCCCTGCCCCAAACATTGCTGCCAACTGGAAGATAACATCTAGCAGAGATTTGGCTAAASAGGATGGGAGTGGGAAGCAACACAGCATCCTTTCCTCCCTCCCCCTCAAGTACTAATTAATTTTCCAGCTTCTGTTACACTTAGGAATTCAGAGGTTTCCACAGCCTTTGCAMGTGAAAAGAGTTGTATCAAAGGAATGCTACTCTGTCATTTCTTTCCTCTTCTAACAATAGCAAGTGGTCAGATACAGTATTTTTGGCTCAATTTTCCATTCAAAAGTACTAGAGGTGTTAAAAAGTTGCTAAAGAGGGTCCAGGTGAAACACCTAAGTAGCAGAATTCATAATAACTACATGTATGTCTATGCATACAGCACTCCCACAGTCATGCTTTTGCCCTGATAAAAATCATGGCAATAATGTCATTTACTATTTCCTTCTTAAAGGAGTTGTCAGGATACTACTTTCTTGCCAGAACAGTGGAAGTTCTCTTGCAATATGATGGAACTAAGAGAACTACACCAACGAGGTACCAGTTACTCTACATGAAGAATGTGAAGAACAGGGTGTGCTTTCGCTGTTACTCACTTGCTCAATGCTTCCACACCAGCTTTGGCAGAGGCACTTGGCACCACAAACCCAGAACCACTCTCTGCATAAATTGTCGTAATAGACAGGAACACTGCTCCTGAAATTGCAAAAACATTGCAAGAAATGACCAACCATAAGAAAGTTCAAACTATGAATTCCAAGTGAAAAACAAATGCCAGCAGTGCAGAAGTTTGCAGTTCAAGTGGGAAGGATACCACCCTTTTCCTTCCCTTCTCTTCCCTTTCCCCCTTTTCCATGAATGAAAAGGAATGCTGCTTCGGCTTCAAAGCACAATCTGAAGTCACAGACTTCAGTGACAATGAATACACATAGGTAAATTTCAGTCTACACAGAAAGAAGGCCTAAGACCTTAAAATGTCTTTTTAGAAGCTTCTGCAGTCAACTAGTTACTAGCAACCAAGCATTTTGTCCCCAATTCCATCAATTCAAGGCTAAAAAGAAAAAAAAATCACTATGAAAAGCTAAGTTTGGATAAATGTTAAAATTACACAGCTTCATGGGACAGTTCACTACTTGTGCCACAGAAACTAAAACATCTCTTTCACTTATTGTATTTTAAAAATAAAGTTACCTAAGGAACATCCCTAAAACTATATGCTTTACCAAGAGCACATGTGACTATGCAGCTAAGTCAAAGACTTATGGTTGAACAGGAGAACCTAAAGAGGGCCATAAAAAAGCACTACCTGATCTGCCTGCAGAGATCATATTTTTAAGGTGTTGACAAAATATTGGATTATACTCTTAGACAGTCCAGAATTAAAATTTATATTTAATGAGCATGCTTATAAATAAAACTCAATACTTACTGATTCCAATTTCAAATTTATTTTTCAGTATACCTCAGAGATAATATTTTCTAGTGCTTTTAGTTAAAAACATAGCTTAAGAATTAATAAGTTTAATATGGAAATTCGTAGTTGTTTCCTGAATTAGTGATCATTTACATCAGTGACACATGTTCAGTTGCTTAGAAGCAGCAGAGATAGAGAAGAGAAATAATAGCATGCATTTTAAATAAACTCTTGTTTTTTGTAAAACACTTGTAAAATAGATGTAAAATCTCTACAATTGAATTCTTATAATCAACCTCATCCTCTTCAGGTCCAATTTTAAAGGCAAATTTTGCAATAAACTAGTTGTCAATTAGTATTCCTGCAGTTAAGTATAATTTCACTCAAAAAAGAACTTTCAGATAAGATGTAAATGGTTAAAACATGTTCTGTTTCAGTCTAAAGTTTCACTATCATGCACAACAGCGAGAGAAAACTGTTAGAAGATGTTAGATGCTCAGCTACTGCTTTTCTTAAATTAAAGATACCTTTTTGTGCTTTAATGAGCTCCTTCCCAATTTCCAGAGTGATGAAGGCAGTACCGTTAAGTACAATATCAGTTATTGTTTTCCATGCATTAGCAGAAAGTCGCTCAGAAGGGGAAACAAAGTTCCCCGCTGCATTGTTTATCACAATCTGAAACAGATTAATAAAATTTTAAAGTTGCACTAAAATCAGTTCATGAGCCTAGKATTCAGTATTAATACATATTTAGCAACTCCAGTACTTAAGTATTTTCAATACTGACTCAGCAGCACCTCAGAGGAAAGCCTCCCAGGTTCTGAGATCATGTACCTTACTGTTTGAATCACTAAAGAAATAAAGCAGTGATAAAGAGGCAATAATAAACTTTGTGAATTAAAGGTGTTATGAAATAGTATTATAGAGATGTAGAAACATAGGACTAAAAAATAAATTATATATATAAAAAGGACTGTTTCTGAGTGGGAATATTAAGGATGGAAGAACAAAGACAGGAGGAGCACGACAAAGGCATTCACTTTGATTGTTGAGATCTCACTGCAGAGGCCTGTTGGCAGTGACAGCCAGGCTTGTGATACACAAAGATATCTGTCACGTGTGCCATGAAAGACAAAAAAATAGAAAGAAAAAGCAAATATTCATTCACTCTGCAGATAAATTCACTCAAATAGATAAAATAGGTGAAATTAAAGAGACAGAAAGTGCCTGTAAAGAGCACGTAGGACACGGTTTATCCAAAAGCAGCTAGTGTACTGAAAATGTAACAGAGAGCAAGACRACTCCTCCCTCTGCCTGCACAGTTAAAAGCCTAGAGACAGGGCCATGCTTGGGCCAAAGAACATGGCAACTCATTGTCAGTGTAGTATATGAGAATAACTGTCTATATATTGCAACAGTGAGCAAGCCTTACAGCAGTGCTACAGCACACAGCTGTGAAAGGTACACTCTCCACTTCAGACTTGCTCCACATGCAAAAGTTCAGAAAGTTTCTCCTCCATATCATTAGGAAGCTACATGGTGAATGCAGCTTCCTACACCAAACAGTACACCAAATAGTTTAAAATATCATTGCATAYACTATGTATCAGCATTAATGTCTTCATTAGACATTTGATCAGCCAGCAAAACCTAGGGTGCTCCTACCACTAGCAAATGAGGATGTGGTGCCTATAATTGTTTAGATTCTAATACACCACCCTTAAGGCACAGGCAGAGAGCTCTACATTTTCTGCCAAACTATTAAAAGATGTTTAGCTCTTGATTAAGATTTTGTTTTTCTAATTTTAAGGAGACTCAATTTTCAAACTGGACATTTTTTTTTTTTTTTTTTTTAATAAAAAAAAAGACAATGCTTACTCCTGCTTCTAATTTGCTTACTCCTGTTTCTAAACTGGGAGACATTAACTTTATTAGTAACAGGTGTAATCAGGTACCACCACAGGTAAGTCACCTTTTTTAGGAAGATTTTAGGGCAATATTCCATTCACTTAATTTATATGAACCCCATCATAACTGTTCCATTTGTGACCGTCCCCTTGACTCCTGCTGGGGCTTTGGGCTTGCCACCACGGGGTGCTATGTGCCTGTATGTAGGTGGTATSTACCAGCTGCTCCATGTGCCTCATGCCTGACTCACGCTGGCAGCAGAGCACCCAGGCTAAGGAGAGCAACACAGGCACCACGTACTCAAGGACAAATGAGAAGGGGGTCTCCTGTCCCCTCCTAACCACCTGGAAAGACCAAAACCCTGTAGAATTGAGCAAATTCCCTAGTTCCTAAAATGGCCTAGTAACCAAACAACCAACAGGGGCAGCATAGACCAAGCCTCAGAGCTGGCAGGCAGGAACAGATGAGCTCACCCAGAAGCCTAGCAAGCAATTCCTCCAGCAGCTGGATTGCTAAAGCTCCTGTGCTTCCCTGTGCAATTTAGAGGACATTCAAATTGTGACGGAAGAGGGAGCAGCACCCTCACCATCAGCTGGGTAACCAGTTCGCTCAGATGCACACAAACTTGCAATTTGTGAATTAGCATAATAATTAATTAGTGAAATAGAGAATTAAGCAACTAGGAAGCTAATGACTCAGCCTAGTGGATTTACACTTTGTTTCCTTTTACATCTAATGAGTTTGTAAAAATAAGGTCTGTTTCTCACAGTACCCTGCTCTGTAAATTTGAGAGATCACAACAAACAGACACACATTGCTTACAGAAAACAGTCACTCCTTAAAATTGATACAACAGTGCTCTATTTGGTTACTATATATTTAAGGAAATATATTAGGAAATATATTTATATATTTCAATAATGAAGACTCAAATTCCTTCCTTTAACTAGAACACTTACATTAGGAAGTCCTGCAAGTTGGATTAATTCAGCAACAGCATTCTTAACAGAAACAGGATCTCTCACGTCACACTGGATTGCATACACCTATACAATTATGGAGAAACAGCTTTAAGACTTCAAAGATATATTCACAAGTTAACCCACAAAAACATTCACAGTTCATGAATAAAGTCTTTAAATAAGTAACATATTCGCAGTCCTGCACACTTTACCTTATTCCCTGTTTTAGAAGAAATTTCTTCAGCTGTTCCTTTCAAAACATCAAGCTTCCTAGGGAAAAAAAAAGTGCATAATATATCACTGGATTTCAATTAAATAAACTTACAGTTATGTACATTTTATATATATATAATATATATATACATATATATATATATATATATAAACTTGAAGTTACCTATATCACTGTTTGGGAAGAGTCCTAATGCTTTTATTTCAACTAAAAATAGACTTTTTCTTTACTCTAAAAGATAATTTTAGAAGTATAATCTTCATAACAGGAAAACTATTGCTGCGCAAAGTCTTACGAATTAAAGGAACACCTTTAATTTAACTGTGAGGGTGACAGAGCTCTGGCACAGGCTGCCCAGAGAGGTTGTGGAGTCTCCTTCTCTGGAGATCTTCCTGGATCCTTGATCTGGATGCCACTCTATGTCACATACTCTAGGTATCCCTGCTGGATCAGGGCGCTTGGACTAGATGATCTCTAGAGGTCCCTTCCAACCTTAATGACTCTAACTATTTCTGGAAGTTAAAATCTACTGTATAGGAATCACCTGCAAAAATATATTCGGAATGATTAACAATATTAATTTCAATTTCATGCTCTTTTACACTTTCGAGGAATTTAATTTTTAACTTTTTGGGTTGTTTGGTTTACTACCACTTTTCACAGATTCTTCTGTTTGTTTCTTCCTACTGCTGGCTTCACAGCAGATCACCGCAATAGACAGTTCAGGAGTTAGATATTTGTAGATACATCAACATGTTTTTGTATTTACAATGTAATATTGTAATTTAAAGTTTCCTGAAATAAATAGGAGATATTATTTCCTATTATTCCTTGTAAAGTTTTACTTTCTTTGGCAAAAGTTGGCAGATAGATCAATCCAGTGTTCATTACTAAATTAGGGCTCTAGAACAAGTCTGTTTGTATTTACCGGCTTGCTATAACACACGTGGCACCCAAACTGGAGAGGGCTGTTGTCATCCCCTTGCCAAGCCCAGTACCTCCACCAGTGATAAAGGCCAGTTTCCCTTGGAAGGTGTTTGGGGGCAACATGGCTTTTTGGACGGGTGAAAAGAACGTAGCTTGCGGTGCGTTGCCGTCCTGGTGCAACACGTTTGGCCCCCGGCTGAAAAACTGAAAAAATAAAAGAAATTAAGTTTCCATTTGTATGTACAAATCCTCGTTTCTGCATAGAAGATGCTATATCTCCATTCTCATAAGAAAATCTAGTTCTGAGTAGCAACTMRAACAGTTTTCTTACTGCTATAAACYAAATGTAAAGTCAGCGACATCTCATAATGCTAAAGCATAAAGATCTTTCTATAAATGTAAATGCTAAGAAAGCTCTAGAGCCATTTTGGACTCTTTTTATTCCAAATGAAAGAAATACTGAAAAGAAAAAATACTGTCATGGTATTTTTCCTTCTGCTGAGTTATTCTTAGGCCTGTCACTTTTGCTCACATGTGTGGAAATTCTTTAATACGAGTTCCCCAACTCACTTCATACCCACACCACTCTCTAAAACAAAGCCCCTAAATTTAGTTTAATTTAGTTTAAGCTTTATCACGAAAGCAAAGCGATGCAGCCAGAACTATAACATTTGCATTAAACAGGTATTTTGGGCATGCTTTCTGGAACTGGCACCCCTGAGCCATTTGCAATAGAGTCTCATAATAAATACATAAATAATAGGACTTCAAGACATACAAGCAGCTCAAATGGAGAGTCCAAAGATCATGACAACTTTTTTTTTTTTTTTTTTTTTTTTT